AAAAATATATATATATTAACTTTTGTGTTTCTGGGGATTGAACCCAAGGGCTAGGAGCATTCTGGGCAAGTGTTTTCTTAACCTATCTGAGCTTTAGTCTTTCCAACTAGAATACATTATTAAGATTGTGTGATTAAAAATTATTGTGCTTTCCACATGAAAGATATTTAATAAATGTTAGTTTTCTTCCCTTGCCTATGTTTCTTAGGTGTGTGTAAATGTGTATTGAAAATGTCACATGGTTCAGATTCACTGTGAGTTTAAGCTTTTTAAACTCATGGTTATCTGTCCCCAAAATGCCAATATCTAGGTTCAGGGATTTAGCTCAGTGGTTCCACTGCCTGCCTCATAAAGAGAAGGTCCCAAATTTGATCCCCAGTACCAAAATAAATAAATACATAAATAAATAAATAAAATGCCAATATAAAAAACTATATATAAAAACAATAAATATAAAAAACTAAAACAATAAAAACAATTATAGTAGCATCTGGTACTTGGTAGATACCCATTATTTATTGGTAATCAGTAAATGCTTCCCTTGTTTATGAGATAGACTTTCATATAATTCAAAATCATGTTTCCTTAAAATGCCAATGACTTTTCCCCTTAAATTATGCAACTGAACATTGAACAGCATTTAACCGTAACTGAATCTTTTTAGACATTATGGCACAAAACCACATTTTCCTCTCCCTGATGTTATTTTTAAATGTATCTTCTGGAATTGTTTAGTCCAACATTTTGAAAAACCAATGATCTGTGAGTCCTAAATTCAGAAGCAAAAAAGAATTAGACTGGAGCTTTAAAGAAATATTCTATTTGTAATCTTTAGAACCTGGTGTTTTAGTCTTAATTGTGGTTGTTGCTAGGAGATTTAAGTTGGACTTGGTCATCAAAAATGCCACCAAATGTATTTAATGGAACTGGTTGTTAGGCATGTTTATTATATATCAGAAGTTTTATAATATAAAACTACATACACTTGCACACACTTTGAATAACCTTAATAGTTTTAAGTATGTAAATTAATTATGTAAAAGATACTCACTGATTTCAAATTTTCATCAAAAAACTTTGGAAAGTAATGTGGAAATGATAGATTTCCTAAAAAGTACAATTTTAATAATACAGTGTCCAAACTTCATATTACAGTGCATTTTACAGTGCATTCCAAATGGATTTAATTTAAGTTAAATGGAAACCAACTAAATATTTAGTTGATCGTTAAGTAGAAAAGGACATTCTAAGCATAAAAACATTGGAAGAAATCACAAAGGATATGCAGATGGATTTGACAGAACAGAAAAAGTTTTGAATATAAAAAATATAGTTAGAAGCAGCAGACTGGGTTGAATATGCCAAAGGGTTAATGCTTTCATATATAAGGACTTCTTATAGATCAATAAGAAACCCTGAATATACAAATGGAAAACTTATCAAAGGACACGTGCACAGGTGTATGTATGTTTAAATTGCGCTCTGTCCACAAAACCAACAGTTTTCTGCCTCCTTTTATTAAAATCTTGGAACAAACTTCCCTCAAGGCAAACCAGATTGTGAGTTCTTACCTATTCAAGCCCTCTTCTGGATCTCTGAAATGCCCTATACTTTTTGGGTAGATTATATAGGATTTCTGCCATTTCTCCCTCCAGAAATAGTTCCCCTGTTTGTCATAGAAGAAAATTTTGTCATTGATAGTTTCTTCATATTGCCAGATTTTATGAACTCTGGAATTTTAACTGTCATGTCTGCAAATCTGTAAAATTCCCAGACCAAGTTTTAGTAGTTAGGGTTAGCAGGGGGAAACGGAAGACACAGAGGGTTTAACAAAAGCAGATTTAATAAACACACCACATCTCTTTAATGGGCGCTTGGTCCATTTGCAGTTTAGCACATGATAAGACCAAATCTGACCACGAAGAGCACGAGCTAGGCTTCGCCATTCTTAGACTCTTGGTGTAAACAGAGAGTATTTTGCATGGCTCTGTGAGAAAAAACTTTATCTTCATCTCAACTGGTAGTCAGCTCTCACCCATACCGTGAAGTTGAAGAGATGGGCGGGGAAGAGCAGAGGAGGAGGAGCCCTGGATGACACCTCTAGAAATAATAACTATTTCTTCAGTGCACCAAAGGAAAATCCTTCGGGTGCCACAGACAACCAGATGATCTTCTGGCACATTAAACTTCGGGTTTGTGCCGGGGTTTCCTTTGCATTATCTAAAATGTGTCCTCTATAGTAGGAAAATTAACAATTTTGGCTTTTGTCAAATAGATTCCTTTGTTAATATTAGTCCCATTGGACAAAAGAGGCAAGGATCCCAGGCTTCTCTGAGAACTCATTCATATTCTTGGGAAAGAATTAGTTGAACAGACTTTCCAGTTTATAAGAACCATGTACCGCAAGTAATATAATCAACGCCTTTTTGCTTTATTTACAAGCTCCATCAAAGTGGGGATTGGCTATGCCTGTAATACATTCGTTTAACCAATGAAAGACCATGTTTCATATTCCAACCCCCCGCATGAACCACGGTCTTAGACAGCTAAGAGATGTTTACGTAGTCATTCAGATACTTTGAGTGGTACCCAAAGTTCAGGATTTATTTAGGTATTCATCTTCTCGTGCCCTGCCCCTGGAGGTACAGGCCATGAATATTGATGACAGGGTGAGGAACACACTTCCAGTGAAACATTGCTGCTGCCTTTCCCACACTGACATCACTTTAATTCCAGTTCTCAGTGTTTAACCAGTCCCATCACTTACGCTGTGAAATTACCAGCACTGAGAACATGGTGTGTACCTGTTCATTCATCTTCGACTCTTGAACATTGTTAACAGAACCAAACAAAACTTACCTGCCTTTTTATGTGCTGAAGCCATAATTTTGATAGCATTTCTCCATGCTGTTTCTCAGTACTGGAAGTCATCACTTTCCGTTTCATCCCTTTGAGTTTGAGGGTTGTTAAGGTAAATGACTTTTTAGAATTTCTAAAGCATACATTTTTATTTATTTGGGTTCGCCCTCTCTGAAAAGAAGTAATTTACAGAGGTCACTCATAGGGAATACTTTCAAAAGTAATAGGTAATTTTAAAGGATTAGGCCTTATTCACATATCTGTTTTGGGATAGGAATCAAGAAACAGTCTCTCTGAGGCAGGGTGCCTAGCAGTGGAACCCTAAAAACTTACTGGAATCCGATTGAATAATTAGCAACTTTGCATCTTTAGCAGGGCTCAAATTTCTTTGGGTTGAAGGAGGACACATGAAAAGGTAAGGGAAAGGCGGACAATTAGCAAGGAGCAGTAGCCACCAAGAGAGGGCTGTCACAGTTCAGAAAGGGCACGCACAGTCACAGCAGCAGTAAGACCAGAAGCTTTAGTGGTGCACTAAATACTGCTCACTCCAAGAGCGATCACGAGGCCCTGTGGATATCAATGTGTCCAAAAATCAAGAGAAACAAATTATTATTATTAGTATTAGTAGTAGTAGTAGTAGTAGTACTGGGGATTGAACTCAAGACCTTGTGCTTGGGAAGCAGGCAACAGAACCACTGAGCTAAAATCCCCAGCCCCAGAAACAAATTATTTTATTAGTGCCAAATTCACTTTGCTCTAGGCACCAGGATATTTCATAATAAGAAATTCAATATAAGCCAAAAAAGAAGAAATAGCAATTATTTTGTTTTAGATGGATTCTAAACTCAGGCACTCAGAATATTTTATTCAGGCCTGCTTCTGTTTCTGTCTTTATTCCAGCTATGGAGGTTTAAAATAGCCTTTGATAGATGGCAAATTATTTTGGTTACCTTAACAGTCATAAAAAAAATCCTAAAAATTAATGATATATATCTGTAGTCATTCTTTTGTCTAATTAGTTGCTATGGTAACTCTGATCTCAAAATATTTATATACAATAATGAAATTGTTTAGTAGTGAAAAGTTACTACAAACTGACCAATTAGGGTAGGCACACCTTTGAGTAATACTTATTTGGCTTTAGTATATGTGTTTCCAAAGCGAGCTGATTTGGCTTTAAATGCCACTACATTTAGGTTTTTTATTTTTTTCTCTTGATATGAGGGATCGAACGCAGGACCTTGTGCTTGCAAGGCAGGCAGTGAAACCACTGAGCTAAATCCTGGGCCCAAGCTTTGAATTCCAATATAGTCTCCTCACCAAAGTACAAGTCAATTAACCAGCCATCATAAAAACTTTATAGATACGGGAAGAATTTACAGGAGTCAGCGGTATGACTTTCTTTTTGCCTATTTAGATATCACACCATACATATTAAAATAATGGCCCTGGTATTAATAATATGTAACTTGAAAGTTGAAGAAATATTTTTAGTGTGACTATCATCTTCATTTCAGTAGTGTACTCCAGACAGACGTGTCAGAGTAATGTATTTTTGACTGGGTATTGTGATAAAACAGGATTATTCCTTTCTGCTTCCTTGAACTTCTAAAGCCAGAGGGGGCCTACCTGTCAGATTCCCTGAGCCGGTTGATGGGCAAGTGACCAAAAACTGGATATATCAATAATAGTCAAGTCTCTGTTTCCCTAACATAAGCAGCTCTGACTTGTACACACGAATGATACTGAGTGGCTCTGGTGAACGTTTTACTACTAACTCCATCCAAAAACCAGTGGGCAGCTAGGACTCAAAACTATACTTTTGCGAAGTATTCGAACATATGTTTAAGTTTTCAAAGTCTGAAATATATGTCCCAGAATTGTTTGTGATAAAAAAAGTTTAGAAGATTTTTTTGTCTTTAAAGTGTTGTCTTAACATAACATAGTTGGTGTTTTCTTTGTTAACGTGAGTGGGCAGAATATAGAAAAATAAAAGGGAGGTTCCCAGAGAAGGTCGTCCGCAGTGGCACCGGTGCCTCGCGGGTGCGTGTGAGCCGCCCATGCGCCTGTGGGCCGGGTGGGCTGCGTGGCTTCGTTGATTTCCTCCTCCTCATGAAACACCGCCCTTTTCTGTCTCCTAGATGACACAGGCTGCCCTAGCAGCCAGTCAGTGTCTCCTGTGAAGACGCCCTCGGATACCGGAAACAGCCCCATTGGCTTTTGCCCTGGAAGTGATGAAGACTTCACCAGAAAGAAATGCACGGTTGGAGTTCCGGGGGAGGGAAGCGTCCCGTCAGCTCGGCACAAGAAGGAATTGAAGTCGGGCCTCGTAAAGCCAGGTGAGTATACATAGGCTGTGGGTTTTCACCGGGGCATTATGACTTGAGTGATTCTCAGTTTGAAACAAAACAATTGTATATCAAATCAGGAATAACTAATTCTGTACCCAGAACAGAAACAGCTTTAAAGTAGGTAGAGTGGGGAGTATTTTGTGTAACAGTTATTAATAATTGAGTGACTGTAACAACGTATATGAATTATAAAGAATTTTTTTTAAAAAGAAACCACATTGAGGAAATATGTTCTGTGTAGTCTAACAGACATTTAAAGTATATCATTGACTCTAGCATAAATTAATAAAATAAGTTACGAAATAAAAGACGTTGCGTGGTACAGAATAGTTTATCTTGATGGAAATCCATAGAGTTAGGCACACTTGGTGACTTGCTGTTTTATTTTATACAAATATGATGTTACATATGTATATAGATTTTCAATAATTAAAAAATATTAAATGCCATAAGGTAAAACAAAGATGATTATCACAGTGAATGAATACTGTGAGCATCAGAAAAAGTCAATTGTCAGATTCTGCAAATATAAGTAAATATTTGGTATCCCAGACATATAAACTAATGTTGTTTTAGAAAAACTAAAGTGATAGCTTTAAAGTCAAGGAAACCAAGCATTAGCATTTGGAGACAACGTCTAGATTGAATTCTTTGCTTTAACACTCAGAGTGACACTTCACATATTTCTGCTTAAAGACAAACGAGTGGCTTGCATGGGACCTCACTCCATGTCTGTCTTCAGATTTCTGTTTGATGACATTGGTATGAAAGGAGCTACAACATGGTTTCACTTTGATGGAGCCAAGGCTTCGTCCTGAATCCTCCGCATTGGGTGCTGGCATCGCTGTCAGCTCTGTGTCCCCTGAGTAATGGATATGTGCAGTCTGTTCTGATAGTGTAGTCTTCATCCTGCTGTGGTCCACCCAAGAGAGTGTCATTTCCTCTCAGAACAGAACTTTAAAAGAGTGTAGCACCTATCAGTACGCCATTCTATTTTATGGCTGAATGATAATCCTTTGTATGTATTGCCACATTTTAAAACAAGTGTTTAAAAATCAATTTCAGGTTGACAGAAAAGTTGGGTGGAGAGTCCTGAGAGTCCTCACATACCCCACACTATCACTATCTCCTGCTTCCTGTTAGTAACATCTTGCCTTTGTGAGGTGATCTATCACATTGTTTACCTGTTCATAATGGACATTTGGGTTGTTTCCACTTTTTAGCTACTATAAACAACAATTCTCTGAACGTTGGTGTACAACTTTTGGGTGAATCTGTTTTCAATTCTTTAGGGTAAATGTCTAGGAAAGAAATTTCTAGGTCTTACGGTAACTCAACATTTAACATTTTAAGGAACTGCCAGTCTGCCAGCTCTTTTCCAAACTGGCTGAACCACTTTTCATTCACACCAGTGATGCATGAGGGTTCCAGTGTCTCCACACGCTGGTTAACACTTGTTACTGTCTGTAGTTTTTTATTAAAGCCCTTTGCCTTATTGTTTCTTGTGTTGCTATAATGTGGTACACGAGACTGAAAAATGTAGAAGGAAAAGAAATGTGTTTCTTTAATTTTGGAAGCTGGCAAGTTCAAGATCAGGGGACCTGTGTCTAGCAGAGGCCTTCCCCTTGTATCGTAACATGGATGTATAACAGCTCAGTTCTCTCTTTTCTCAGAAAGCCACTAATGGCATTACAGGTCTAAGGACCTATGCTTTAGAAAAGAAATGCCTGTGTACCCCAAATATGCTATTTCAAAGGTTTCGTCGCTGTCCTTTATTAAGATTTATGAATCATAGTTTAATAATTCTTGCCCAAAGGCAGAGCCTGAAACAACAGCTTTGTTAACTGGTTTAATTGCTCCTAGGCATAAATATCACTTTAGCATTATTTACCTTGTGATCTTTTTATTTCCTGTATTGAGCCAAGGTAAAGAGATCCTTGGAGTTTCCAAGTTGTCTAAGTTTCCTAATGTCATCATTAAAAGCTCTGCAGCTTTTGAATGGGACAACTCTTTGTATTTGAGAAAAGTCTGTACCATGACTTACAGTTCTCTGAATCTTGGGCAGAATAAACATGTCTGTCTCATAAATGTGAAGCCAGGATGCTGGAAATGCGTGGCTTGGCTGACACTGAAGTTTATAAAATGCTGACATCGTCTGCTAAACCACAGGAAGGTCCTGCTCTTGGGTTAAAGTGGTCTACCTGCTCTGTGGTCCATGTGACCCTCTCCCCTCAGCCAAAGCCCATCTTCGGCTCTTGATTCATGCTCTACTTTTTAAAATAAACTGACTCATTAAAACTGATAGCCATCTATTAAAATAGCAAGCAATTAGAGCCTCTCATACAGGTGCTCAGGGGCTCTTTAACAGTAAATAACCCAAACCCACTTTAGGTCACTTGTTCTAGATTTTAGAGGCCTGCTATTCTCAGAAAGGAGTTACTGAAATGCTCCTGCGGTCCCTAAGATAAGGAGTGAATCCTGCTCCCAGAATCTGTAGTGCAGAAGAAGAAAAGAAATATGGCACTGGGTGCCAGGAAGGGCTTGCGAGGTGAGCTGCGCAATGAGAAAGCCCCAGCCTTGCCAACAGGGCCCTGCGGTGTGGGAAGCGAGAAAGCCCTGCCTGCCAGGCAGGGACTCTTTCTGGAACCTTCCTGGAGGCCATGCGCCTCCTGTCACTTTGGCTTCCATCACTTAATATCTGTGCAGATTTAATTAAAAGCTGCCAACAACAGCAAGAGAAAACATTCCTGTGGTCCAGTTGGACGATGGCTTTGTGTTCTCCCATTTTCCTTTTATTGATAATTGAGCGAAACATTGGGGATTGAATCCCCAGAGTCAAATATTGTTGTCATAGAGTAGGATATGGTTGCCCAAAAGATATGCAAATGGGAAAGAGTGTATGGTTTGTCCAAGCAAATAATGTTTTGCGTGAAAGGAGCATGGAGAAGGTGGGTAAAAACTGCCAAGACAACGTCCTACCTTGGGGGGAATCTGTAATTGAAGGCGGAATATGGAAGAAGGATAAAAGCCTGTAGTACTGATGCAAAGGAAACTTTCTGAGGAATCCTGGATGGTGACATTCCTCCGTGCGCCCCACCTCTCTGCAGTGTGCTGCCCAGTTTTTACCCAGAAATGAGAGGCCTAATTGGATTACTGCTCCAGTACATTAAATGGTAATTCTTGAGCCAACTTTAATGCTTGATTTATTACTTGGGGAGGAAGAGAAAGATCCACTGGCATTGTTTTACAAATGCAAATACTAAATCCTTTCTCCATCCTTGGAGGGGTGGGGAGACAGGTACACAAGGTGAAGCCAGACAGCAATTAGAAAATGTGAAAGGAAAATCACCGCCAGAGGCAATTCCAGGGATGAGTAGAGAGCAGCAGGTTCAGGCCCCTATAATTTAAAAGAACTCCACATTTGGAGACCAAAATGTTGAAATCTGCATTTGAAAGATGTCACTGTATCTCCGCAGCTTTCAAGCCAAGTCAGTCTTCCTGGGCACGAGACACCTCCAGGGTATTGAAACCCGAGACCTGGCTGAGCTGCACTGGAATAACCTCAGGACAATAGCCAGGGATTGGTTACTTTAAAAACCGATTTCCCACAGTCAGAGACTTTTGCTAGGAAACCCAGAAGGCACGGACTCGGTCGGCCATGGATGCTTTCACACACAGCCAAGGCCCACAGATGTCTCCGTTCTTATCTGAGCACCATCTCCACTTCAAAGTTAATTCCACAAAATAACACTGGGCAAGTTAGCTGGGGTGGGCCATTCTCATATACAGTGATAACGTGGAGTAGTTACGGGAGAACTGTCCAGGCTCAGACCGCTTCCCCCTCGGTCTGGCAGACCGTCCAGTGTTGGGAGAAAACAGTGTGCGGGCCAGAGAGGGGACAGTTTCTAATCAGCAGGCTCTGGGGTCCAGCTGACTTATCACTGGGTGACCTTTCCCCACTTGTTATGTTTGAAACTTGGTGCCCTACATCTGCGAAGAGGGTTCTTACAAGATTAAATTAATTCCTCCCTGGCTATTACTCTTGGTCCTTTGTAGCTTTTCCCCTCTTTTTGGTGGTCCTGGGGATTGAACCCAGGCCCTCCACAACAAGCTACATTCCCCAAACTCTTTTTTACTTTTTGTGTTGAGCAGGATCTCCCTGGGGTGCTGAGTTTCTCAAAAGCAGAGCTCGAACTTACCATCTTCCTGCCCCAGCCTCTTCATAAAGATTTCTCACATTCCATGCACTTTATTTACAGGAAAACTCCTGAGACTCTCACACAGAGCTCGTATTTATTTGAAATACATTCTAAAATTACAGGAAACGAGAGGAACACTTGAAATAAAAGGACATTGACAGAAGTATGAATTCAGTTGATAACTCAGTAGTGAGCAGAGATAGGAAAATTTGAAAAAGCAGAGGAAAGCCTTCTAAGAACTCTAGTGGCCATAAAGCATTTCAGGCAGGTATGAGCAGCAGCGGGACACGGTAGCAGACACCTGAAATCCAAGCACTCCAGTGGGCTCAGGCAGGAGGGTTGCAAACTCAAACCAGCCAGGGCAATTTAGTGACTTAGCAAGACCCTGTCTCAAAATTTAAAAAGACTAGGGATGTAGACCAGAGTGAGGGCCCTGGGCTCTGCCCCGGTACATACATAACCTACCTACATGCATGTGTGATTGCATGCATACATCTTTTCCGTCCTTACTGCGAAGACCGATAACAGGAGCAGACTAAGCCATTGTGATGGTGGATCTGGCAACAACAAAAAAAAATAAAGACCCTGTCTCAAAATTTAAAAAGACTAGGGATGTAGACCAGAGTGAGGGCCCTGGGCTCTGCCCCGGTACATACATAACCTACCTACATGCATGTGTGATTGCATGCATACATCTTTTCCGTCCTTACTGCGAAGACCGATAACAGGAGCAGACTAAGCCATTGTGATGGTGGATCTGGCAACAACAAAAAAAAATATATAGGTGTT